GGGAAGCGGCCGGGCCGGCCCGGCGCGAGGGGCGCGCCCCTGCTGGGCGCTTCCCTGTCCTGGCTGTTTCGGGGTGAGGTCTGTCCCTGGGCCCGAGGGAGTGGGCGCCCCTCGCATCCTCGCCCCATCCCCGGCCTCCCTGGACGGGTCCTGCCGCTGTCCTCCGTGCGCCGCTGGAGGCCAGAGGTCTGAGAACCTTGGACGTCCTGGCGTTGGGCTCGGGGCGCTGGTTTCTTGTGACACCCCCCGCCCGTTCGGGCTTTTCTACAGGAGATCGGTCCGGGCTCCCTGTGGGCCAGGCCGTCTCCCACCCTTCCTTGGAGCCTCCCAGGCCACTTCACGGACTTGACCTTCAGCTAAGAATAGGAAAACCCTATGAAAAACTGAGTCCCGTCAGCTGTCCCCCTAGCAAGTCCGCAGAGAGCCAAGAATAGAGCCCCAGAGTCCTAATCTGAGACAAGTCTTAGAGCGCGGTCAGCCATTGCCCTCTCCTAAGCCCAGGTCCCCAGGGATCCGTGTGTGTGTGTGTGTGTGTGTGTGTGTGTGTGTGTGTGCGCGCCTGTGCGCGTGTTGTGCTCCGGGATAGGAGGTCTTTCAGGACCCTCTTCCTCTCCCTCAATCACCGCCCCCCACCCCACCCCGGCGGTCACCTCTCAGCACCTCCTGGCTCTGACGGTTTTGCTGGGTCGCCCTCTATCGGCCAGTAGAGGCAGGAGGCTGCCTGAGTGGGTGGGTAGTGACCGAGCAGGGCGGCCTTCCCGGAGAGCTGCACCTGTAGGTGTTAATGGCTTTCTAGTCATCCCCGGAACCTCCATGAGTAGAGGGAGTCAAGCCAGAGGCCTATCAGTCAGTAACAACCTCAGATATCTTGGTTAAGGATCTTGGGTGTAGAGCAGTGATCTGATCTAGGCTCTGAGGAGTCTCATGGACCCTTTACACAGGATGGGAGACTGAGGCCTGAGGTGGGACTTGCCCGGGGTCACTTGGAGAGTAATAGAGACGATACTAGAGACTGGACCCATCTCCTTTTACCCCCAGAACTCTCACTTCACCATAGTTGAACTTCTGGATCGCAGTGGAGTGGCTGCTGGGGCCAGGAGGCTCGGAGCCTTGGGACACAGACGCTTGGGTTCTCTGACCCCCTTGTACCTGCAGGTCACAATGCTGCTCGGAGCTTCTCTAGTGGGGGTGCTACTGTTCTCCAAGCTAGTCCTGAAACTGCCCTGGACCCAGGTGGGGTTCTCTGTGCTGCTCCTCTACTTGGGGTCCGGAGGCTGGCGTTTCGTCCGGATCTTCATCAAGACCATCAGGCGAGACATTTTGTGAGTACCTGCTCTGGTCCTTCCTGGCGGCCCTCAACCACACTGGGCTTCTGAGCTCCAGAATGTACCCAGACCAAACCCACCGATGTCCCCACCAGCCCAGGACATCGGGGCCCCTATGGAGCAGCTTCTGCTCCACACCCTTGCCCTGGCAGCTGTGCCTGGTACCTGCATCTCCAAGGTCAAAGTCTTCTCCCAGCGATTCTCCCTACCTGGAGGCTCCTTGGGCTGAGGCAGGCTTGGAGAGCGGGACCACAATAAACGGTGGGTGTTTAGGGGACCTGAGGGTACCCTTTAGTTTATGACAAAGTGAAGAGGAACCTCTCCTCAGGTGGTCCCGAGTTTGAGAGGGCGCCAGGAGCTCTGAATTCTAGAGCGGGCCCTAAGTTAGAAATCTTGAAGGACCTGCTCTCAGCAACTCCACACCAGGTGCCAAGCTGGCTCTGAGGCCGGGAGAGGCGCAGGGCAAACCCAGTCTGCTAAGCTCAGACTGGCCAGAAGTTCAAAGTGCTGTAACTCTACATATACGCGCAGAGCCCCCTGCAGGCTGGCTCCAGGGTCCAGCACTGGAAGCACACCCAAAACAGGCAGCTTAGCTCTTGTCAGTCTGGGTGGGTTACAGAAGGAGGTGTGGAGGGGCCCTGCAGAAAGGGTGCCGCAACAGGACTGGAGGGGGACTTGGGTGGGAGACAGCCTGAAGGCGAGGAGTGGACTCGTGTGGGACAGGGAGCAGGGAGAGGCCGGCTGAGGCCGGAGGCTTGGGCACTCAGAGGCTTCTGGGAGGAAGGAGTTGTACTTGAGAGGTGACTTGGAGCTGTGGAAGGCGGGCATCTAGCCAAAGGGCACAGTGTCAGCAAAGGCACACGGCTGGAGGGCTCACAGAGTCCAGGAGTCAGGGGTGGCAGGGGTAGGGCAGGAAGGAGATGTTGCCAGGTGATTCCACAGCATGAACATTACCTTGTGCCTGACACGCAGCAGACCTGGGGGACGAGGTGGTGGACCAGGCAGAGCCCCGCCCCAGCGGGGCTCCAGGGAGAAAGAGTCGTCCCTCATTGGCCCTGGCGATCAGGACTGTGGGCCTGGAGGTGGCACTTGGTTTTGGAAGGCTTCTGGTAGAACAGCGGGCTTAGAGGGGAGGAGGAGTTGAACTCTAAACCAGAGAGGCCGGGGGAGAAGCCCTGGGCAAATCATGGTGTCACGAGGACCTTGATTCCCTTCTGCCCTGTCAAGGAGAGTCATCGCATAATCTGGTGTCATTGTGAGACCTGGGTGAGAGTGTACATGTCACTGTGCCAAGCTCCCGGGAGGAGCTGGCGGTGAGGCCCGGGCCAGCAGCGCAGCAGCCCGGGCTGGGGTATCAGGACCCCACCCTCCCGCTCTGGCAGTCACAGCCCTTGCCCGCTCCCACACAGCGGTGGCCTGGTGCTTCTGAAGGTGAAGGCAAAGCTTCGCCGGTACCTGCGGGAGCGGAGGACAGTCCCCACGTTGTTTGCGTCCGTGGTTCAGCGCCACCCCGACAAAACGGCCCTGATCTTCGAGGGCACAGACACCCACTGGACCTTCCGCCAGTTGGACGACTACTCAAGCAGCGTGGCCAACTTTCTGCAGGCCCGGGGCCTGGCCTCGGGCGACGTGGCTGCCCTGTTCATGGAGAACCGCAATGAGTTCGTGGGACTGTGGCTGGGCATGGCCAAGCTGGGCGTGGAAGCCGCACTCATCAACACCAACCTCCGGCGCGACGCCCTGCGCCACTGCCTCACCACCTCGCGGGCACGGGCCCTCATCTTTGGCAGCGAGCTGGCCCCAGGTGAGCTCTGGGGAGCAGGGGGCGGTGGGGCTCTGTGGGCTCCCTCCCACACAGACCACGCCTCCCTCCCATTCCTGGGGAAGGCTGCATGGCTCCATGCGTAAGGGCACAGGCCTTAAAGTCAGACATCCTGGGCCCTGCCAGGGACCCTGGAGGTCCTGAGTGGGGGTCAGTCTCGGAGCGTCAGTTTCCTCTCCTGCAGTACCTGCCTCCGCCTGATCTCAAAAGGCGCTTGCTGTGGGGCAGCCGCAGAGCAGCCGGTGCTGGCTGGGCCCCACAGAGCGGCCCCGTCTCTATAGTGGGGTCAGGGACTCGCGTCCTGCCCTCAGTGCGGAACTTGTGTTTTATTTGCTGCTCCACATCGGGTGCCCCCAGTGCTGAGCTTGGTGCTTTACAAAAGCAGCTCTGATCTTCCTAAGGACCAGAGAGGCCGGGAGTGTCGTCTTGGCTTTGTGGGTGATGAACTGGGCTCAGAGAGGGAAGAGAGCTAACCCACGGTCACACGGCTGCAGGGCTTGACCACGGTGTTCCCGGTCTCTGTTCCCGCACTGCTGAGGTCACGGAAATGGACTGGGGGGTTAAGATGCTCAAGGGAGAAGAAGAATGCAACAGGGAGAAGGGAGAGGGCCGGGTGAATCGAGGGGAAGCCACAGAGTGTAGCGCGCTTGCCTGCTATGTGTGAGGCCGTCACTTCCAAAAATAAAGAGAAGAGGAAGAAGCAAGAGGAAGCAGGGCGGAGAGGCCAGAATGGCCCCGTGGTCAGCGTGGGTGAGTGGCTAGGAATCTGAGCGAAATTTCCCTCTCTGAAGGGGGCCCTCGGGTCCCCGCTCTCCACTCCTGCCCTCTAACCAGCTGCCACAGAGCGGCCGAGCCTGGTGGGAAGAGCTCAGCCCTTGGTGTAAGACAGCTGCGCCCTTGCTCTCAGCCCCAGTGTGTTTCCCCAGCTGTGACACCAGCTGCTGTTGGTACCTTATCAGCCATGGCTGCAGGTGGCTGCATGCTAGCCTGGGCCACGTCCACAGGGAAGGGGCTCCCTCTTCTCTCCACACCAGCCTGCTCACTGATACGCGTCCCTGGCTTGAGCAGTCCCCCCGCTGACCTGCCTGTCTCCCCAACAGCTGTCTGCGAGATCCATGGCAGCCTGGACCCCTCCCTCAGCCTCTTGTGCTCGGGCCCCTGGGAGGCCAGTTTGGTGCCCACAGGCACAGAGCACCTGGACCCTCTGCTGGACAAGGCCCCTAAGCACCTGCCTGCCCGCCCTGACAAGGGCTTCACAGGTGGGTCCCGCCGCCACACGGGGCTTCTAGGCTGGGTTGAGGGCAGAGCGCCCGCTGTCTTAGGGCCAGAAGGCCTGGGTTCTGCTGGTAACTTGCCGTGTGGCTCACACAGGCTACAGCACCTCCCTTTTTCCATGGAGCACGGAGACTGATACCCTGGGACACTCTGGGGTCACTGTGAAGGTGGAAAGACCCAGATGCCAAGATGAGCTCACCAAATCAGTTCTCTGAGTTGTGAGGCAGTCTTTCTTGAGGACCGAGGGTACCTAGGAGCCTGCCTCACCTCAGCTGGGGTCAAGGTGGGGAGGTGGGCAGGGCCGAGACCCTGGGAATCCTAGCAGAGGCCCTGGCCAGTGCAGGATCTGCCCTAGCTCTGTCGTCCCTGCATGGGCTGTGGCCAGGTCCTCCTCAGGAGCCTCCTGGAGCTCTCAGCTCCTCCTGGCTCCAGCCTGTCCTGCCCTGCCCTGCCCTGCGGCTCGCCCCAGTCCTGCCAAATCTAAGCCTGCTGCATTGTGTGGCAGCAGAGCTCATGCTGCCCAGGCAGATCCGAGTCCTTATGCTGGCAGTCTGTTCCCTTGTGACCGTGGACACCTGCCCTGCCTTCTGAGCCTGTGCCCCACAGCCATAAAACGGGGGACGGTAACTGAGTCTACTTTATGGGTTGACTTTACAGATTGCAAAGAAAAGAGGGGGTCAAGTTCTGAGGCTAGGGCATGGCAGGAAGGGCTCGGGACTGGTCCTGTCCCCGTCACCATCCTCCGCTTGCCTTTCCTGTCTGTCTCCTGGACATTTCCGTAAGCTGCCTGAGCGCAGGGCCTGTGCCAGGTTCACCCTGGTGCCCCTGTGCCACTCGCAGGTGGCACGAAGCAGACAGCCAGAGAGCCTGGTGTGGTGTGGTTGCTCCAAATGTAGAGTTGAGCAGGGCACGGCGGCACGCGCCTGTCATCCCAGCACTTGGGCAGTTGAGGCAGGAGGACTGCCAAGAGCTCAAGGCCAGCCTGGGCTACCTAAGTGAGATCCCGGCTCCAAAAAAAGAGCAAACAATAAAGGTACAGAGTCATTCCCAGTGGGCTGTGCCCCGTACAGGAACTGTAACGCGACAGTCCCAACTCAGAGCCGCGGGGTGGCCTAAACAGATGGCCAGTGGTGCAGAAGCTGCCTCGCTCCCCCGCCCGCCGTTCCCGGAAGCCCACCTGCTGCCATCTCCACGCCCACAAGCTTGGCCAGGTGGTGCCGCTGGGCTTTGCCAGGTCCTGCGCTTCTGCCCGCCCCCTACCCGGTGCTCAGTATCTGATTCACCTGTGTCCTCATCTGTCCCACCTGGTGAGGCCCTCCAAGCGGGCCGGGCTGGCACAGAGGGAGGCCCAGGAAGCGTTTGTGGAGGGCGGGGGTGCGGGTGGCAGAGCGGAGGTGTGGAGGCCGTCCGGGCGCTTCCTGGCGGAGGCGTGCCGGGAGCAGGTGCCTGTGCCGGGCCCCCTCACAGCTCCCCGTCTGTGTTCTCTTCAGATAAGCTCTTCTACATCTACACGTCAGGCACCACAGGGCTTCCCAAAGCTGCCATCGTGGTGCACAGCAGGTAAGGCGCGGGGGCCCGGGTGTGTGGGGGGCACTGCTGCCATTCCAGGGGCCCACTGAGCGCTTCGCCCTTGCCCTCCCAGGTACTACCGCATGGCTGCCCTCGTGTACTACGGATTCCGCATGCGGCCCGACGACATTGTTTATGACTGCCTCCCCCTCTACCACTCTGCAGGTAGCCCTGCCCGCCCCTCAGCCTCCAGCACCCTGTCCTCAGGCACACCTCCCCCGCTTGGCCAGCGAGTGCACTCCAGTCTGGGTTCAGTGCAGGCGTGGCCATGGCCCCCCGGCTTGTCCACGAGGGTAACCATTGCCGCCTCCCAGTGGGGTGACATCTGTACTCCTCACACATGGGTAGCACGTGTAGCGTCGGTTGTGCGGTGTAAGGGAGGCCAGTGCGTGTGTGCATGTGTATGTAACACTATGGAGAGAAGGCCGGGTGAGTGTGGAGGAAGGGTGGGTACCTGGAGAACTTCCTGAGGAGCAGGTTTGAGGTACAGAAGCCAGGAAGGGTAGCTCAGTCCTGCCTGGCTGAGTGGCGGCTCACAGGCGCTGGGCCAGCTCAGCAGTGTCGAGTGTACACTTGATCCCGTAGGTACTGAATAGGGGAGAGAGACGATTCGTTCGTGTAGGGGTACAGGACAGGAAAGAGGCCAGGGGGAAGGGCCCGTGAAGACGTCAGCCTGGGCTGGGGGACGGGTCTCCGGCTCCTTGACCTCCAGGCCCCCTCTGCCCTCAGGAAACATCGTGGGCATGGGGCAGTGTCTGCTCCACGGCATGACAGTGGTGATCCGGAAGAAATTTTCAGCCTCCCGGTTCTGGGATGATTGTATCAAGTACAACTGTACTGTGAGTAAGGAGGGCCGGGGATGAGCAGTCCCTTTCCGCTTGGGCGACAGACTTGGGGGCATCTATGAGCTGACAGTTCAGAGCACGGCCAGCTGCTGTCAGTGGAACAACACTCCCATTGTCCAGATGGGGAGACTGAGGCTCAGGCAGGACTTGAGGGATGCTCGGGAGGCGAAGCAGGGCCACCCTGTGGGCTCAGGCTCACCCCAAGCCCACCTGCTCCCAGATCGTGCAGTATATAGGTGAGCTGTGCCGGTATCTCCTGAACCAGCCGCCCCGGGAGGCAGAGACCCAGCACCGAGTGCGCATGGCCATAGGCAACGGCCTCCGCCAGTCCATCTGGACGGACTTCACCAGCCGCTTCCACATCCCCCAGGTGGCCGAGTTCTACGGAGCCACCGAGTGCAACTGCAGCCTGGGCAACTTCGACAGCCAGGTGCGGCCCGGCTCGGGGACAGGAGGCGGGGCTGCAGCGAAGAGTCCCGGAGTGAGAGTGGGCGTGGGTCCTGGCTGCCCCCTGCCCCCGCTGTCTCGTTCAGGCCCCATGGGGGACAGCCTGCGCCTAAGCGTTGGCTTTTGCAGGTGGGGGCCTGTGGCTTCAACAGCCGCATCCTGTCCTTCGTGTACCCCATCCGGCTGGTGCGTGTCAACGAGGACACCATGGAACTGATCCGGGGGCCCAACGGCGTCTGCATCCCCTGCCAGCCAGGTCAGCCCTGGGACTTGGTGGCAGAGGGGAAGGTTTAGGCTCAGGAGGGAGGTTGGCAGTGTGGGTGGATGGGGAGCCTACTCCGTCCAGTGGCCATCAGATGGCTCTGTTCTTGGGCTGCGAGGTGTCCCTTTACTGTCCATCCAGCCGCCCATCCACTGTCTTGTCCACCCATGAGTCCGTTCATTTTTTTTTTTCTTTTTTGTTGTTTTTTTTCCGGTACTGGGAATCAAATTCACGACCTTGCACTTGCTAGGTAGGCGCTGTGCCACTGAGCTAAATCCCCAGCCTGAGTCCATTCATTTTCTTCCCTTTTTATTTTAAAGAGAATAAAAAAATTTAAAAAACAATAAAAAAAAAAGCCGGGCATGGTGGCGCATGCCTGTAATCCCAGCACTTGGGAGGCTGAGGCAGGAGGATTGTTGGGAGTTCAAGACCAGCCTAAGGGCTGGGCTACAAAGTGAGTTCAAGGCCAGCCCAAACTGCATAATGAGACGCTGTCTCAAAAAGACAAAAAATAAAATGAATAAAAACAATAAAAATGATACAGAATTTGAAAACAAGATGATAGTAAATTAACAATGGCTATTGTATTGCACATTGTTATCTTCAAATTAGTTGCTCAGATTACCAGATACAGACATGCAAGATTGATCAAGCAGCCAGGCGTGGTGGCATACACCTGTAACCCCAGCACTCGGGAGGCTGAGGCAGGAGTATCATTGCAAGTTCGAGACCAGCCCGGGCTACAAAGTGAGCTCAAGGCCAGCCTGAACTGCATAGCGAGACCGTCTCAAAAAGACCAAAAACAAACAAACAAAAAGATTGATCAAGCAATTAAGCACTAACTGTTCCTTTCAGTAAGCCAGCAGAAATTAGCCGTGCAGTTGTCTTAGCCAGCTTGTGCGTGTGTATAGATGTACATTTTCCCCTTTCTTCTTTCTGAGTCCATTCATTTCATGTTGCCCCAAGAGGATCCGAGTCTCGGCCACCTGCGGCTGATTCTGCCTCAGCCCCGTGCCGGGGGCCAGGTACCTCTCAGCGCCCAAGTCCCCTTACCTCAAAGCAGCAGCCCTGCCTCATCAGGTTGACCCGGGGAGCACAAGAACACAAAGCTCGTTGAGTGCACCACAGCCCGAGGCTGGGGCTCGGGGTGCTGCTTGGGTGACCGTCCAGTGCGTCTGAGCCCTGCTCGCTGTCTTACCTTCAGTGGACGGTGTCAGGCCAGCTCCTTCCCTCAGAGAGCTCTCAGGCAGGAAGGAGAATAGGAACTACCTTCTTCCCTTTTCCTTTTCTTCTTTTGGAACTAGGGCTTGAACCCAGGGCCATGCACATGCTAAGTACAAACTCTACCCTGAGCTACACCCGCAGGCCTAGAAACAGGTCATTTCTGTGGAAAGCAGTATGAATCAAGTCAGATGAAGACGCAGGGTGCATTGAGCGGGGAGGACAGGTAGGAGAGGGCACCAGGGACAAATCTGATTCTGCCCGCTCTGTCTCCCAGGCCAGCCAGGCCAGCTAGTGGGCCGCATCATCCAGCAGGACCCTCTGCGCCGCTTTGACGGCTACCTCAACCAGGGCTCCAACAACAACAAGATCGCTCAGGACGTCTTCAAGAAGGGGGACCAAGCCTACCTCACTGGTGAGTCCCCAGTCCTGAGACTCCCAGAAGGAGCCTTCTGCCGCCTTCTGCCACCTTCCGAGAAGACCTGCCCAGGGCGCCCCCAGGCTCAGCTCGTGTGTCAGACCCAGCCCTGGGCTCCCGGACGCACAGCCTGGCTGTCAAGCCCCTGGACCAAGGGCCAGGCAGCCTGGGTCCAGCCTCACCCAGCCCCTCCCTAGGCGATGTGCTGGTGATGGACGAGCTGGGCTACCTGTACTTCCGGGACCGTACAGGTGACACGTTCCGCTGGAAAGGCGAGAACGTGTCCACCACCGAGGTGGAGGGCACGCTCAGCCACCTGCTGGACATGGCCGACGTGGCGGTGTATGGTGTCGAGGTGCCAGGTATGAGCGGAGAGGGCGAGGTGCGATTCGGGAGGCACCACCCAGCTCACTGCCAGCTGCTCACAGTCTGCCCTCCTGCTCCCAGGAACCGAGGGCCGGGCTGGCATGGCGGCTGTGGCCAGCCCCGCCAGCAGCTGTGATCTGGAGCACTTTGCACAGGCCTTGGAGAAGGAACTGCCCCTGTACGCCCGCCCCATCTTCCTGCGCTTCCTGCCAGAGCTGCACAAAACAGGTGTGTCCCTCCCTGCTCTGGCACCAGGCTCCAGGCCCGGGTCCTTCCCCGCATCCTTTCTCTGCAGGCCTGGGGGCTGTCACTGACCTCTACCCACAGCTTTCCAGTAGGTAGCTGGTGAGCTGTTCCATGTGCAATGGTATTGAATGTGTATCTGGCATCATGCTAGGCATTAGGGATACAGGTAACAAATTCTGGCAGGAACTTTGCCTTCTTAGAGCTTTTTTCCTTTCCTTAGTACTGGGGGTCAAACCTAAGGTTTGTGCATGCTGGGCAAATGTTTTACTCTGAGCCACACCCCACCTCCACTTTCTTGGAGCTTTAAGACCCAGCAGCTAGAGGACAAGGAATTCTAAAGAGAAGTAACAGACAGCAGATCAGAAAGGCAAATGAAGGCAGGGCATGTGTGTAATCCCAGTACTCAGAAGGCTGAGGCAGGAAGATCATTGCAAGTTTGAGACTAGCCTGAACTACATAGCAAGACCCTGTCTCAAAAACAAAAAAAGAAAGGCAAATGAAGCCAGGTATGGTGGCACATGCCTGTATCCCAGCTACTGAGGACGCTAAAGCAGGAGAATTGTAAGTTCTAGGCCATCCTGGGCAATTCATTTTTATTTTTTATTTCTTTTCTTTTCTTTTCTTTTTTATTTATTTTTTTCATCCTGGGCAATTTAGTGAAAGCCTCTCAAAATAAAATTTATTTATTTATTTATTTATTTATTTATTTTTTTGGGGGGGTCTTTTTGAGACAGGGTCTCGCTATGGAGTTCAGACTGATATTGAGCTCACTTTGTAGCCCAGGCTGGTTTTGAACTCACAGTGATCCTCCTGCCTCAGCCTCCCGAGTGCTGGCATTACAGATGTGTACCACCACACCCGGCTTCAAAATAAAATTTTAAAGAGGGTAGGGATATAGCTTAACACTAGAGCACTTGTCCAGAATGGTTCAAGCCCCAGTACAACCGGGGGTTGGGGGTGGGGGTGGGGAGGAAGAAAAAACTCAAAGCAAATAGAGCCACATTTGGGGTGACTGGGTGGCTCCTGAGGTGACACTTTAGCTCATACCTGAATGTAAATACAAATGACTCTGCAGCCGGGTTGGGAGTCATTCCAGGCTGTGGGAATAGCAAATGTGAAGTCCCCAAGACAGCAAGGAACCTTGGCACTGGAGGCGCGAGAGGAAGCCCGAGAGGGGCAGGCAGTGGGGAACGGCAGGATGAAGCCACATGCTCAGGCCCTTGCATGCTGGCTTGGATGTGGACTGTCCCAGGGGCAGTAGGGAGCTACAGAAGTATTTGAGCGAAGTAGTAACCCAGTCAGATCTGTGACCTACAGACCTCTCTGGTTACCGGGTGCCACATGGGAGGGGACTGCAGGTGGCCCTGACCAGGAGCGGGCAGACAAAGGAACAGGCTGTCGTAGCTGTCTGGGTGAGCACTGTCAGCTGAGCCACACGGCAGGGAGGTGGCATCCTCCTGCTGGTCTGCTAGCAGCTATCAGTTCCCTGGTGGGCAGGAAGTGTGGGAGCTCACCCCCGCCCCCCGTGCTCTTGCTGCTCCCTGTGCTCAGCCTCTGCCTGTGCTCAGCCTTGGGCCACATCTGCCTCGCCACCCCCCACATGGTCATCAGCCCCCATGTCAGTGGCAGGCCTCCCCACCGACACACGCTCTGCGAGGTGGCTGGCACCTGGTCGTCAGGGGCACCTGAAGCAGTGGGTAGGGCCCAGGGCTCAGTGTGCCATAGGATGGGGACACTGTGAGCTCTGAGGCTCAGACATCTGTGACTTCTGCCCAGGAGAAACAAGGACACCTCAGGTGCCACACCACCTCCGAAGGGCTCCAGACATGCCTCACTGGCTCAGTTCTGTGGTGAACGGTTCGAGGGCTAAGTTCAGCTGAGTGGTTCTTCTGCTACCCACTTGGGTTACCCAAAGCTGCCATCGCTTAGTGGCTCAGCTAGGGCAAGAGGGTCGAGGGTGGCCTCACCTCTGGCTCTTGGCTGGCTGCTTGCACACCATGGAACCGTCTATGATGGCAGAAATGCTGACTGTCCCTGGTGCACGGTGAGGTGGCTACCTGCCCTGGCCAGCTGCGTGTCATCTCAGATGAGACCAGCGTCACCGAGGAACTGAAATCTAAATGTTTCATTTCAGTTCATTTAAATTGTAAATAGCTACAAGGGGAGACTGTAGAGCACACACCTGTAACCCCAGCACTCAATAGGCTGAGGCAGGAGAATAACCCTGAATTTGAGGCTAGCCTGGGCTACATAGTGAATTCAAGGCCAGCCTGAACTACATAGTGAGAGCCTGTCTCAAAAACAACAGAATGTTGGGCAAATGCCTGCCCTGCTGGACAGCGTGGGTCCGGGGGTCTCACCTGAGGTGGGTCATCTGGAATCACACACAACTCCCGTGACACTGCTCCTGCCACATTCTGTTGGGCAAAGCAAAGAAGGCCAGTCCGGGTTCAAAGTGGGGGAGACTTGAAGACCCCAGGGCCTGCTGGGAGAAGCAGCTGAGCCACATGGCAGGAGTGACATGGAGGAGAGGAGTCCATCTGGTCGCCGGTCATACCCAGGTTAAATCCCAGTTCCACGACAGCTGTGTGCCGAGCCCAGAGGTGCGCCTCAGCAGCAGTCCTCACACAGCGAGGCTGATCTGGCTGACTGAAAGACAGTTTTACTGCCGGACGTGGTGGCTCACTTCTGTAATCCCAGCACTCGGGAGGCTGAGGCAGGAGGATTGTTGCGAGTTCGAGACCAGCCTGGCCTATAAAATGAGTTTAAGGCCAGCCTGAACTGCATAGTGAGACCCTGTCTCAAAAAAAAAAAAAAAAGTTTACTTACAAAGGACCAGCTAATTAAACTATTTCAGAGATGTTAAAATGTGAAAACACATGCATCTTAGATGCAGGGAATACCATTACCTGCCTAAGGGGTGAGGCACACATCCTCTGTAGGTGTCAGGTGAAGGGAGCCGTCCCCACTCTGCTGTCCCTCTGTGTGACTCAGGCACACAGCTCCCTTCTGACATCTTACTGCCCTACCTGCAGCGGGGGTGGGTAACTCAGCCGTCCCTTTCGGCCCCTCTCAGCTTTGCTGGGGCTGTGGAGAAGGAGAGGCAGCCCATGACATCCCAGATGGAGTGTTTTTTGCACATTCTGAGTCTCCTCTGCCCCCCAGGGACCTACAAGTTCCAGAAGACAGAGCTGCGGAAGGAGGGCTTTGACCTGGCCCTGGTGAAAGACCCAGTCTTCTACCTGGACTCGCGCAAGGGCCGCTACGTCCCGCTTGACCAAGAGGCCTACACCCGCATCCAGGCGGGCAAGGAGAAGCTGTGACTTCCGCCCCAGAGGGGTCCTGGGCGATTCCAGACCAAAGCAAGCAGGGCCCGCACCTCAGCCCTGAGGCGCTGACCCCTCCCACCAAAACTGCCACAAGTCCACTGCCGCCTCCCCAGGCCTCCAGGGCTTTCTGTGAAAGCCTTGCATCCAGTGATGTCTGGGCCCCTCAGGACAGTGTCTGGATGGAGCGTGGCAGGCAGCGGTGCAGGAGGGAACTGGTAAATGGGACCAAGGTAGGCGGCCTCGGACTCAGAATGCCAAGCGTGGGCAGGACAGTGGTGGCCATGGGTCCAGTGGCCAGAGGACCCTTGTCTCAGTCCTGTTTGCACCTCCAGGCGGGGAGGGAGCCAGCACAGCCCCAGCTCCCGCCACAGCAGGTCAGGACAGCACCCGCGTCTCTCGAAACCCCCACGTCCTTGTCTGCCTGGGGCTGCCTCGCTGTCCCGAGGGCCTTTTGTCCCTGTGGGTCTCTGTCACCTTTCCCATCACAAGCGTCGCCGGCTGTGGGAGGAAGGACGAGGGGCAGGGCTCAGGGGCCAATAAACTCTGCCTTGACTCCGAGCCTGTGTGCTGTGGCCGGGCCCACCCCATCCCGCCAGGGTGTCCCGCAGGGATGGGACACAGACATGGGGCCGGGCAGGTGCCAGGCCCCTGTCCTCGGTGCCCTGTGCCAGCTCAGCTGGGGGCAGCTCCCACTGAGTCTGACAACACATTTAACCTCATGAGCCTCAGGTCAAGCAAGATCTCATTTAGAAGCTTGTGGCCGTGGGCCGGTGACGCAGTACCCTGTGAGAAGTGAATCATCAGTTAAGATCCAGAGGCTAAAGGGGCCGGTCACGAGCCTCTGAAGGGAAGCCCTTGCTCTGCTGCAGCCCGTGGTTTGCTTTGCTCGGGGGCTGGAAAGAGCTGCCGCGGTGACAGCTGCCAGGCCACAGCAGGGCGGCCTAACCTGCCGGGCCGCTCATAACCCCGCGCAGGGCAGCACGCGCTGCTGTCTCCAGCCTGCGGGTCTGAGTCACGCGCAGTCGGAGGTGGGGCACGCCGGCACAGCCGGGGGCGGCGAGTGGTGTGCACTTCTGCCTTGAGGTCCAGTCGCCAATCCTGAGCCTCACCTGGAGGTTTCTATCACTTGGCCACGGCCACCCAAGTAAGCACAGTGACGGGGGCCGGAAGCTCGCCTTTCCCGCTGCCTCCTGGTGCAGAAGGTAGGAGGAAGTGACATTTTCCATTCCGCGCATGCCTGGGTCACCAGCTCCGGGCCACACCCCGAGCCGGGAGCTGACAGCTGAGGCGGGAAGTCAGGCTGGGAAGTCGGGATACCTCCCAGGGGAGCAGGCTTTGAGAGCGAAGTCTGGTGCCCCCCAAGGAGGCGCGGACAGCCGGAGCAGGTCCTCAGCCACTCCGGGGCGGCTGGGGTGCTGGCCACAGCTGCCACACCAGTAGTGACCAGCAGAGGGTGCACAGAGCTCAGAGAACCCAGTCCTGCCCTAGGCCTCAGCCCGAGGGAAGCAGGGAGGAGGGGCTGTGTCCCCCACTCACCCCTGCGCAGGTCCCTGGGCCTGAGAACCCTGCGGCCATTCCCACGGGACCAGCTGCGTGTCGTTAACCTCCACCGCCAGGTCTGGACAGTGGGTGGGAGGAGTGCTATCACGACGCGGTGCAGGGTGACTCAGTGTCGGCTCCCTTCAGTCTCAGCTCTGCCATCTGCCAGGCCAGGCCTCAGTTCCCCTTCCAGTAAAGGATTCCCTACCTTGCAAAACGGCCTGCGTGGAAAGCTCCTAGTACAGGGCCTGCGTCCCCACCTGCTCACCGCACAGTGGTCAGACCTGGGTACTGGAATGCTTTGGAACTCATCCAGTTTGGTACTCAACACCCTTCGATGCAAAGTTTTGCCCAGGTACTGGTCGTGGAAGCTAGAACTTGTCCATGTTGGTCACCCCATGACTGACTACCCTTTCCAGCCGAGACTGTTTGGTACTCTTTCCACCTCCAAGAACCAATTAACAGATATGTTTGGCCAGGGGAGGTGGCACACACCTATAGTCCCAGCACTCAGGAGGCTGAGGCAGAATTGGTATGAGTTCAAGGCCAGCCTAGGCTACATAGTGAGACCCTAGAGTCTAAAAAACAAAAAGGACCAATTAACAAGGAATACCCAGGTACAGTACCGCTATAAAGAAAAAAGGAGCTGGGTGTGGTGGTGCACACCTGCAATCAACACTGGGGAGGCTGAGGCAGGAGGATCAATCAATTCCCAGACTAGGCTGATACCCACTTGTCACTGGACCACCCCACCCCGTCCCTCAGTATGCCCTCCTGGATGCACATCTGGTCATCCCCAAACCATGGCCAGCAGCTCCGTGCCACAAGTTGCTGGGTACACACTGGTGGAGTTAATAAACAATAGCTTCCATTTCCTGGGCAGTTCCTGACACTTATGCAAAGCTTCCCGGCTTACAGAGCACTGTCAGTTCTCCAACTGCGCAGACTCTAAGGGCTGCCCGCTGCCGGGGAAGAAGGAAGAGATGGGGCCCTAACCTGCCCTCGGGGAGCCAGGCTTCTGCAGGGAGGCGGAGGGGCATGAAGCAGAGACGCCAGGGCTGCACTGAGCAAGCGGCACAGGACTTTCTAGGACATTCCAGGCAGAAATCAGGCCTGACAGGGCAGACAGCAGGTTGAGGAAGGATGAGATCAGACTTCCAGGGATCATTCCTACAGTTCATCGCTGAATAGAGCACCAGGACCCAGGAGCAGAGGCACAGAGTTCTCCCTGGGCATCAGGCAGCTCTGGGTGTGGCTTCTTCATTGCAACTTGCTGTCATTGCTGATCATTGATGGTCCTTCTCTTCCATCAAAAGTGAGGAGGATGCTGTCCCAATGATTTGAAAATACTGTAAATAGCTGAGCACTATGTTTTGTTTTGTTTTGTTTTTTGTACCGGGAATCGAATTCATGACCTGGGGCTTGCCAGGCAAGCAGTTATGCCGCTGAGCTACATCCCCAGCCCAATAGCTGAGCACTGTGGTGTGTGTCTGTAATCCCAGCCCTCTGGGAGGCTAATGAGGCAGCAGGATGGCAAGTTCAAGCCCAGTCTGGGCAATTTAACAAGACCATGTCTCTAAAGAAAAGATGACTTGGGAGCTGGACATGATGGCACACACCTGTAATTCCAGCACTTGGAAGGCTGAGTCAGGAGGATCCCTGAGAGTTAAAGGCCAGCCTGAACTACACAGTGAGACCCTGCTTCAAAGGACCAAAGGCGGGGGCGGGGGGGCCGTGGAGATCCTGGGCTCAATCCTCAGCATTGCCAAAAAAAAGAAAGGGCAGGCAGGCAGTGAGACTGCAGGGCTGATGGAGGGGTTAGGGCTGAGACAAGAGATAGGCGTGAATCCTGCAGGGCACGCCCTGTCCCTGAACTCTGGGAGGCTGAGGCAGGAGGGTCACCTGGGAGTTTGAGACTAGCCAGATTTACAAAGCGAGTTCAACACCAGTCTGGACTAATAGCAAGAAACCCTATGTGGAAAACAAAAAACAAAAACAGGAAAGAAAGTGAATCCTTTGAGGGCTACACTGCATGCCTCCAGTGGGTAGGAGCTCAGGTTCGTCTTTATCATCCAGTCCTTAGAGGCCAGGGAGCACGGGGCACTTCCTGCATGATTTCATGAAATCCCCACCCCACAGACAAGGATGCTGAGGCTGAGAGGTTAAGTCGTCTCAGAGACCCCAAGACCTGTGTGTGGCAGCGCTGGGGAGAAGTCCCCTTCCCTGAGCCTCCTGCGCGCTCCACTCTGGCAGGCTGGAAGGAAGGGGCCGGCGCGCATCGTCCCTGGAGGTCCAGCAGCGAGCAGGACAGCAAGTGGTGGCCCGGGCCAGTGCGTAGCTATCACTTTCAATTCCTGGGAAGGAGGTTAAATACCATTGAGGTGGCCCCCCGGCAAGGGGGGGGGACCAGTGACTTTCAAAGGGGCCTCAAGGCCCGGCCAGCCCCTCCTCTGAGGACGGGGCCCAGCTTCCTCCAGGCCTAATGATATTCTGGGCTCAGCCTTCAGCTTTGGCGGCAGTTTAACCCGAGCCAGGGCGGATTTCTTTCTCACTGATCTCAGCTTGACACCCAATTAGCACAAGAATGGGAGGAGGAAGCCTGCGAGAGGCGCCTCCCAGCCTCCCGGGGTGTGCGAGGGGAGCAGGCGGGAAGACAAAGGGCAGCGGGCAGGGGGGCACCCGCGCCCTTGCCTCCCCCTCGCCCGCCGACCCCGCCATTGTCTCCCCAGGAGCTTCACATAGGATGCGGGCCGACGCCCCAGCTAGGCCGCCGGCTGGAGGGGATAGAGAATGGGGCCCAAGCCCCTGTGCTGCAAGAGTCCGAGGGGCAGGCTAG